AGACTCCATAAAAATTTACAACCCTTGCTCTTAAGAGATACTATTAAGAAAATAAAAAACACAGATTGGGAAAAATGTTTGCAAAACACATATTTGATACAAGACCTATTAGACTATATAAAGAGTCCTCAAATTCAATAAGAAGAAAACAAACAAATAAAAAATTAAAATTTGAACAGACCCTACCTCAAAGCAGATATATTCATGGCAAATAGGTACAACAAAAGATACTCAATATCATTAGTTATTAGAGAAATGCAAAATAAAACCACAACAAATACTACTACATACTATTAGAATGGGGGTGGGCGGGCGGGAAGAACAACACTTGACAATATCAAAATGCTATGAAGGATAGGGGAGCAACTGGAACATCACTGGTAGAAATGCAGAATGGTGTAGCCACATTGCAAAACAATTAGTCTGTTTTTAAAAAATTAAATACAATCTTACAATAGAACCCAGAAATCCTGCTCTAGATATTTACCCAAGTGAAACGTAAGCCCATTTCACAAAACCCTGTGTGTAAATATTTGTAGTAGTTTTATCTGGAATAATCCCAAACTGGAAACCAAATCTTATTATCCCTGAACTGGGAGGGATATGCATAAACAGTTATGACACATCCATACAGTAGGATCCTGCTTTGCAATAAAAAGAAACAAAGTATTGATATACTCAACACACAACATCTCAAATGCCTAATATGCCACACATTGGAGAAAAAGAAACCCTCCAACTCTGTTGGTGGGAAAGTAAGTTGGTGCAGCCACAATGGAAAATGGTATGGAAGTTCCTCAGAAAACTAAGTATAGAGTTGTCACATGATCCAACAATCCCACTGCTAGGCATATATGTGGACAAAGCTATAATTCAAAAAGATACACGCACCCCTATGTTCATGAGCATCTTTATTCACAATAGCCAAGACATGGAAACAACCTAAATGTCAATTAAAAGATAAATGGATAAGGAAGATGAGGTACATATATAAATAGAATACTACGCAATTTACAAAGAATGAAATGATGCCATTTGTAGGAACATGAAAGGAACTAGATATTATTATGCTAAGTGAAGTAAATCAGAAGGAGAAAGATGAATACCATGCGATATCATTCGTATGTGGAATCTACAATATGACAGAAATTAACTTATCAACAAAATAGAAACAGACCCACAGACATAAAGAATAGGCTTGTGGTTGCCAAGGGAGAGGGGCTGGGAGAGGGAAGTGGTTTGGAGTTTGGGATTAGCTGATGCAAACTGTTGGCTTCCCAGGTGGCGCAGTGATCAAGAATCTACCGGCCAATGCAGGAGACCCAGAGGACACAGATTTGATCTCTGAGTTGGGAAGATCCCTTAGAGTAGGAAATGGCAACCCACTCCAGTATTCTTGCCTGGAAAATTCCATAGACAGAGGAGCCTAGTGGGCTACAGTCCATGGGGTCACGGAGAGTTGGACACAATGGAGCATGATGCAAACTAATATATATTGAGTAGATGAACAACAAGGCCTTAGTGTATAGCCAGGAAACTATATTCAGTATCCTGTGATAAACCATGATGGAAAAGAACATAAAAAAGAATGTATACATGTATAACCGAATCACTTCACTGTATAGCAGAAATTAACACAACATTGTTAAGTCAATATATGTCAATAAAAAAACATGCTAGACACTGAACCATTCCATTTTTATAACATTCTGGAAAGGGCAGAACTATAGAGGGAAAAATACCAGATCAGTTTGCTAGGGACTGAGGGTGGGGTGAGAGGAAGACTACAAAAAGACACTAGGAACATTTTGGGGGTAATGAAACACTTCTATATCTTGATTATGGTGGTGGTTGCAAGTCCCCACGGGTTTATCAGACTCCCAGAACTTTTGACTGAAAAGGGTGAATTTTATCTATGTAAATTAGACCTTAATTTTTTAATCCAAAATAGAAAGACACAAAAATATCCTGTTGTGTTAAATTATTTTGTATATAAAAGTCTAAGTAATGTGTACAAATTTTTAGATATTTTAATAAATCTTTCCAAATTCTCTTCAGAAACATTGAATCCAATTTATACTTCCTCTGTTGAGTGGAATGAAAGCATGTGGGTTTTTATTTTCTTGTCAATGCAGCTATCACAGTGAATGCATTTTTCACACGGCCTCACTCAGTGCTAGGGACACAGTAGGGGGTTAATAGAAGCATAGCGTCTAAGTACATGTGGTCCCCACAAGAGATAAATGAGATGCCCTGAGTCCTGAAGCCATTTACTGTTTGGATGGAGGAAAGGAAGGAAGATACCTTTTGTGTTGGGAGGAGAGACAGTCTCTGACTGGAGAGACTGTCCCCAGACAGTCTCTGGGGAGCAGTGTTAAACTGGGGGAGAAAATAAAAAAGGGTGATTGAGAAAAACATATTGAGAGGTCTAAAATGACAACCATATCTCTTCCTACCCCAAGTGCCTAGTGCCACATGTAGCACATAAGACTGAAAGAAGCAATAAATGAATGAATGGATGTTGAGACTAAAATTTGGGATCAGCAAAAGTACAACTTCCTTGCTTTGGGATTTGGGGCTTCAAGCTCATTTTAAGGCTGTGGCCATGCAGACTTGGGGATGTTTTACTCTGAGTCCCATCTAAGGAGAAAGTTGGCATAGGTGAGGAGGGGGAGGATGCATAGTCACGGGAGTCCACCTGGGTCCCCACACGCCCAGGAGCCTATGATGCAGGTCCTGGGTGTCAGAAGTTCCTTCTCATTCTCAGCCCTGAGGACTAAGTGAAGGGTGGAGTCTTGGGCCAGATGCTGGGTCATTTTAGCTGGAGCCAGACAGCTGTATAGCAGAGATAATGTGGGCTGAGAGGAAGCTGAGGGAGCATGCCTGTGTGCTGGCCGGGGGCCAGAGCAGGGGATGGGGTGGGGGTGGGGGGCTGGGGGTGTGGTTTCTGGAATGGAGGTGGGGGTGGGGGAAGGGAAACACCGGCTGCTTTAGGAAGGCTGCAGTGGGGAGCAGAAGTCCGGATGGAGCTGGTGGGTGATTAGAGATGATGGTAGAAGAGGCAGAGAGAGGGATAAAGATAAGGAGACATGTGAGTATGGAAAAGGAGAGGCAGCTTCTGTGTGTGTGTCTATGTGAGTGTGTATGTGAGTGTGAGAGTGTTAATGTGTGTGCACAGTGTAAGAGTGTGTGTGTATATGTGAGTATGAGAGTGTGTGTATGTATGAGTGTGCTAGTGTATGTGTGTGTGTGAGTGTATGTGAATGTGTGCACAAGTGTATGTGAATGTATGAGTGTTTGAGTGTGTGTATAAGAGTGTGTGTGTAGGTATGTATGAGAGTGTGTTAATGTATGTGAGCTTTCCCCTTCCCCAAAGGGATACTGCAGTTATATCACATACCCAATAGGCACCATGACGTGTGTAAGTGTGTGTGAGTGTGTATGTATGAGAATGTGTTAGTGTATGTGAGTCTGTGAGTGTGTTTGAGTGTGTGTATCTATGAGAATGTGTTAGTGTATGTGAATGTGTGTGTATGAGAGTGTGTTCGTATATATGTGTGTATGTATGAGAATGTGTTAGTGTATATGAGTCTGTGAGTGTGTATGAGTGTGTGTATGTATGAGAATGTGTTAGTGTATATGAGTCTGTGAGTGTGTATGAGTGTGTGTATGTATGAGAATGTGTTAGTATATATGAGTCTGTGAGTGTGTATGAGTGTGTGTATATATGAGAGTGTGTTAGTGTATGTGAGTCTGTGAGTGTGTTTGAGTGTGTGTATGTATGAGAATGTGTTAGTGTATGTGAATGTGTATATATGAGAGTGTGTTCTTATATGTGTGTATGTATGAGAGTGTGCTTGTGTATGTGAGTCTGTGAATGTGTATGAGTGTGTGTATGTATGAGAATGTGTTAGTGTATGTGAGTCTGTGAGTGTGTTTGAGTGTGTGTGTATGAGAATGTTAGTGTGTGTTTGAGTGTGTGTGCATGAGTGTGTGTATGAGAGTGTGAGTGTGAATGTGTGTGTATGAGTGTGAGTGTGTGTATGAGTGTGTGTATAAGTGTGTGACTGTATGAATGTGTGTGTATGAGTGTGTGTATGAGAGTGTGAATGTGTGTATGAGTGTGAATGTGTATGAGTGTGTGTATGATAGTGTGAATGTGTGTGTGAGTGTGAATGTGTGTGTATGAGTGTGAATGTGTGTATGAGTGTGTGTGTGTATGAGAGAGTGTGTGTGTATGAGAGTGTGTGAGTGCGTGTGTATGTATGCCCACATGTGAGAGCACAGGTGCTCCTCCCTGAACCCAAACAATTTGCTGCTTCTTTTTTCACACACGCTGTGCTGTGTGCTCAGTCACTCAGTCGTGTCCGACTCTTTGCAACCCCACGGACTGTAGCCCGCCAGGCCTCTCTGTCCATGGAGAGTCTCCAGGCAAGAACACTGGAGTGGGTTGCCACACTCTAATAGTGACAAAAAATAAGGTTGCATCTGGGCATGTAAAGTGTGAGCATGAGTGACTGCTCAGACTAGCCAGGAGCCTGGGAGAGAGAAAGGCAGTGCCAGAATGAACGCATGCATTTAGGAATGAATGAATGAAAATATGAATGGAGTTTACAGGAAGCTCCGTGTGAATGTGGGTGTGTGAAAAACGGGTCTGAGATGCCCTGCTGCAGCCCCGTAGCCTATACTCATGGTCTCTGAGCCAGAGGATTCCAGAGAAGTCTGTACCTGAGGTTCCAGAAACCTCACACTACCCCTCTAGGTGAATAACGGGCTTCAGAGGACAGCACTCTTATTGCACCAGATTCTGGGAGGGAACCTGAAGAGGGTCAGGACTCTTCTGACCCTGAGAGCCCTTCCTGGGCGGGGAGGCCCCAGACTGGGTGGAGCAGCCACACCTGCCTGAAGTTTCGAGGAAGAGGGGCGGAAACTGCCCCGGCGCCGCCCTCTTGTAGGCTCTGTGGGCTCCCGCGGTCTGCTGATCACAGTGGGTCCCACAGCTTCCTCACTTCCCTAAATGGGCAACTTCACATTTAGAACCCCAGGTCTTCCCTGGCAGACCCAAATGGCCCGGCCAGGATAGGCCTGGGCCCCTAACCTTGGATCCCTGCCCCCCACTGGTCGTGCCCATCCCCACTGCATGGAGCCATGCCATCCGCCTTCCTGCTGCTGCTGCTGCTGCTGCTGCGGGTCCAGGGCCCTGTCTCAGGTGAGAGGGTGGGTGGGCGGCTAGGGGGGAGGAAACGGTCTGTCCCTGGACCCCCTTCCTGCTTTTCTTGCCCAGTGATCTTGTGGGGTTGGAGGAGGCGGAGGAGGAGGTCTGGCAGACCTAGTCGCCCCTTACCAGAGACCAGTGAAAAGTTTCCAGCCGAATATCTGGCCCTGGGGAAAGCTAACCCAGGCCTCACCAACTAAGATAAAGCCCTGGACCCTCTCTGCATGGGCCCCTTTATCTGCCCGGCGTCCTCAGGACTTCTGACCAGGGCCACTCCCTTTCCTCACAAAACAAGCCCTCCTCCCTCGGGCCTCTGTCAGGAAGGCCCTGTTGGTTCTTTATGAGAAGCATTACCTCACGGGTGTGGCTGCTGAACTTGCTTTTTCTTGGAACGCTGGGGCCACAACCCCTGTCCCTACCTGCTGTCCTTGGCGGGGAGGTAAGCAATCCTTGAAGCCCTCTCTCTCACCCAACAGCTCCAGCCGAATATCTGGCCCTGGGGAAAGCTAACCCAGGCCTCACCAACTAAGATAAAGCCCTGGACCCTCTCTGCATGGGCCCCTTTATCTGCCCAGCTTCCTCAGGACTTCTGACCAGGGCCACTCCCTTTCCTCACAAAACAAGCCCTCCTCCCTCGGTGTGGCTGCTGAACTTGCTTTTTCTTGGAACGCTGCGGCCACAACCCCCGTCCCTACCTGCTGTCCTTGGTGGGGAGGGAAGCAATCCTTGAAGCCCTCTCTCTCACCCAACAGCTACTAAATGCTCCTTGAGGGGACCTCACCCAATTCTGCCTGCCTTGCTGCCATGGCAACCAACTTACCACTTCCCGTTCAGTTCTGGGCACCGCCTGTGAAAGGGCTGAAAGGTGGGGACACATGTGCCCTGGAGACCCTTTTCAAGGTCATCCCATCTATACACCTCTCCTAGAAAGGCCCCCCTCTGCCAGGGCAGAAGAGTGTCTCCTGGGGTCCCCCAAACCTGTCATCTGCCAAATAATTGGGATTATTCTGTTTAATTTTTATGGGACAAAGTGATACAAGAGAGGGCGTTACCTTACTCCAAACCTCAACTCTAGCGGCAGCTGGGTTGGAAACTAAGGTGGATGTCTTGGATGCTGGGCTCTTTCTTGGTCATCACAGCTCTGGGTTCCGTTGGGAAAGCCTGGAGCAACCTGCATTGGGGAAAAGGAGGCGTGCACTGCACATGTACCATGTTTAGGGCGCTGTCCAGGGTCAGTTCTCACAGCCAAGCAGAGACGGATAAGAAACAGAGACCTTACACTGTCTGCTCACACAGTCAGTGATAGAATCGAGTTTTAACCTATGTTTATTTAGGTGTGTTCTGTATACATTCTCCAAAATGTATGTTCTGTACTCTGTGTATGTGTTTGCAGAAGACTCTGAGTGAGTTAGAGGAGTAAATGCCGAGCGGAAGGTGGGTAGAGGGGTGGAGGGCCCCCACTGCAGCCTTCTCCTTCTTCCTGTCCCCTGGCTTACCACCCTCAGCCCTAGTTCTACCCTTTCCTCATCAGACTAAGGGTTACGAAGCTCCCGGACCACATCTGCTTCCTAGGGATAGAGGGCAACTTATGAACAGTGAAGAACTGTAGAGATCTTTGGTTTAAACACAACTGGGAGTTGATACGTATATTTGGACATGCTGAATCTATGGGTTTTAGGTAACTAGAATATTTTACAATTAAACATCAATTAGAGTGAATCCAAACAACTTGTTATTTAAAAGATGACTACAATGAAACTGTTTGTGAAACAAATAACTACTGTTAATATTTTCCAAGCCTGAATTTTCTCACCTACCTAAGTTCACTGGGCTCTGGAATTTCAGAATGACTTGCATTTGTGTCTGTATCTCATTGAGGTCAGGACAAGACCCTGAAGACGGGGCTTATCACTCTCCCATCGGACTAGAAGATGCCACAAAGAAAAGGGCTGTGTCCGCTGAAGTTCCCTAAATGTAAAGGCTAAGCTTCCTTTGTTAAACTAGGGGCTCCCTGTGGGCTATGCCTGTGTCTCCACCATTATACTGGGAGTTCCTCTGTATGTATCTAGCTAACCCTGTATCTTCCTCATCATTTTAGGATTTCTCCAAGGGCACAGGACAACTGTCTTCCCTATCAGTCTGGGAACTCCTAGAGGGCAGGGCTAGTGTCTCCTCCAAAAGACTGAGAGCTCCCTGGGGGAGGGGGCCTATGTCCCCCTCCATCAGAGTTGGGCTGTATTTCTCCTTTGAGTTCCATGAGAGCAGAACAATAGCCACCTGCCTCTTCACCACAAGTTTCGAGCTTCAAGATGCTTCCTTCCTCCTTGCTCAACCAGTTATGTCTCCCCAGGTGCCCCCATGGAGAGCGTGTACTCAAAATTGCAGCACTTTGAAGGGGAGACTCTGTCTGTGCAGTGCTCCTACAAGAGCCGCAAAAACCACGTGGAGGGTAAGGTTTGGTGCAAAATCAGGAGGAGGCAGTGCGAGCCTGGGTTCACCCGTGTGGGGGTGCAGGGGCCACGCTACTTGCTGCAGGACGATACCCAGGCCAAGGTGGTCAACGTCACCATGGTGGCCCTCAGGCGCCAGGACTCGGGCCGGTACTGGTGCATGCGTAACAGCTCCGGCATCCTCTACCCTCTGATGGGCTTCCTGCTGGAAGTGTCTCCAGGTGAGCAGGCCTGCTGGGGCGCTGGGATGCTGGGGGGTGTCCTCCCGCCCTGTAGTCCACTGAAATCAAATATGACAAGGATGATAATAATCCATCAGTGGGCATGATGGACAGTGGGGTTTTCACAGTTCTCTCATAGGCACCTTCATGGGCATTTTACAGATGAAGAGAATGAGATGTAAAAAGTCCTTTGCAGCTCTGACCTTGCTCAGAATCATAGAGCTAGCAAGTGGACGAGATGAGATTCAAACTCAGGACTCTTTGTACTTTGTTTTATTCAATCATTTGTTCAGTATTTATTTGCTGTGCCCTGATTCTCTGCCAGGCACGATTCTAGGCTCTGAGGACACAGTGGTGAGCAAAACCAGACATATTCCTATCCTATGGGAGGAAATAGGCAATAACACATTGTCAGACAAACAGTTGCAGATAACAGTGAATGTTCTTAAGCAAATGAAACAATGGCATGAACTAGAAAGTTCTGTGGTGGGGGGAGCGACTGAGTTAGTGGGGAGTCAAAGAAGACTTCCCTGAGCAGATGATGTCATGCAGAACCTGTGTGGGATGAGAGTTTTCTAGTCCTGTTGAAAGTGAGTGGTTCAAAGGGCTTTCCAGGTGGGGAGAACTGTACATGCAAAGGCCCTGAGGTGAGAAGAAACTGGTGCATACTGAGTATTGGGCAGAGCAACAGAAGATGAGGTTGGAGAAGCAAACAGCCGTCCTGATGCCCATGAAATGGGGGTCATAGTTTTATTCTAGGTACAAGAGGAAGCTACTGGAGAGTTTTAGAGGGGTGATATTGTGCCTCGACTTTAAGATAATCAAAGCTCTCTCTTTAGTATAGAAAAAGAGAGAAGGGCCAAGAAAGAAGCCCTATGCTGTTTCTACATTTACAAGATAGGAAAGGGTGAGGAGCCAGACAGAGAGCCTGCAAAAAGCTACCAGTGACTGTGAAAATTACTCTCCACCCTTCCCGGTTCCTCTAACCCAACTGCATCCCCATCTTCCGTTGGGTCTGAACTTGAGCAACTGCCATCTCTAAGACATGGAGCAAATCTCATTCCTCCCTTCTCCAGTTCTGCTTTAGCCCCAGGGAAGTAGTCGAAACCAGTTTACTGAAGTCTTCATTTGTAGGGACACAAACATGAAATTGAGGGCGGGAGCAGAAGGGGACGACAGAGGATGAGATGGTTAGATGGCATCACCGACTCAATGGACATGAGTTTGAGTAAACTCCGGGAGTTGGTGATGGACAGGGAAGCCTGGCATGCTACAGTTCATGGGGTTGCAAAGAGTCAGACATGACTGAGCGACTAAACTGAAACTAAACATGAAATGATTTTCCCCTTAGTATATCTTCCTGTTGTACTATGCTGGATCTCACTTTCTATCTCTTAACTGCAATTTGGGGAGATTCCAACTTTGCAGACCTTACTAGCAAGTGAAAAATCTGCAAAACTTCTAATGACATATGCCCTTCCACCGCCTCTTGAAAACCGAGCTTTCTGGCCCCAGGCACCTGAAGTGGGAAAGGGGGACAGCTGCTGTCCAACCCCCCTTCTTCATCACAAGAGGTAGGGGAGGAGGGTTCCTCTCCATCATCACCTGGTCCTGCACCTCCTGACCCCTTGGTGTACTGAGGTAGGGATGAAGGAGAGGGAAACGGTTATGTGACCTCACTGACCCTGCGGGAGGTCTCTCGCTTTGTGGACGTCACTTCTTTTCTGCCCTCCTCTTAGATCCTCTGTGGCCAAGTGCTGGCTCTCCCAGGGCAGCTGTGTGTGTTCTTTGAAGGGTCCTTTTGGGAGGGGTCTTCTCACTGCTCACTAGGACAATTTGGGAGATCTGGCTCCAGGTTGGCCCTTTCTCCTATCCCCACCTCACCAATTCTGCTTGTTCTGGTTCCCTCGCCCAGAAACATGGGCACCTCCCTCAGTGAGGCCCTCAGGAGAGCGTCCAGGCATGCTCTCAGTGGGATGCAGCCGCAGCCCTCTCGCCACCACAGCATCCCTCTCTCTCCGTTCTCCTGTTTCCTGATGAGATCGGCTCAACACTGCTCCCTAGACTGAGCCCTCACAGCTCCTGCCTGCTCCCCTTCCGCCAACCAAACTCCAGCCTTCTTCTAGAAAAGGGGATGCTGAAGGCCTGCCCTGATGCATGATGGTGGCAGAACCAGTTTGGATGTCTCCTAAGAAGCCCCCAAGGAAGGCATTTGACCTCCCTGCTCATGGTGTTCCTGGGAATCGGAGTCTTTGATGCTTCCTTGTCCTCATCTCTGGATCCCAGTCGCCAATCGTGGAGCAACTGGGAAAGGTCACATTCAACGTCAGAGCAGAGAAATCTCAGACTTACAGGAATGAGGAAGGTCCAGAAAGTGACAAGAGAGATGGGGGTAGGGAGGGAAGTATCCTCTCGTCCCCGTGGCTGGACAGGGGCCACTGAAAAGCTTGTGAAAGACTCTTCCTTCTTTGCTGTGCCTACTTCCTCCTCCTTGACCTCACCCCCTGAACACACACATACCTGGTCCCTCAGCAAAGCTGGATTCTAGGTCCAAGGGGTGAAATGAGGACAGCTCCCCCCATCACCCCAGTCCCTAGACAAGCATGTGGGCTGCTATCAGCTGCTTCCAGAACCAAGACCCCGACTCAGCCTCACCTCCCTCCCTCTCTGGTCCCTCAGCCTCCATAACCAAGGGAAACTCTCCTCTCACGAAGCTGCCCAACATCCTCCAGAAAGCAACGGTCGTCGCCACAGGCCCAGCGCCCACCTCAGGCCCCGCTGGCCCTTTCATCGGCCAGGCGACAGTGTTCACAGCTGGACTCCTCACCTTGGCCAGACCATTGCCTTCCCCGACCTCAGGGAACACCAGACGGACCTCTGTGATGGGCTCCAGTTTCTCCAGCACCGGCCTGTCCACCATGGGGCCCGGGAAGGCCACTGGGTCCCAGACAGCGACTGCGTCTCCCAGCAACACCCGAGCCTCCGCTGTGGGCCCAGCCTCCGCCTCCACGAAGGCCGCGCACCTCTGCACCGCGGGAGCCCCCACCATGGGAATGTACCCCACCAGAAGAACGCTCCTCAACCACTTAATCCCCAGCAGGTACCTGGCGCGGGGAGCGGCGGGGTGGGTGGGGCTTACATGAATACTGTTTTCCCAGACACGGGAACAGTCCTCGGTGCCTGAGCAGAAGGCACGGTGCAAACGTCACAGCAGAGCAGCCCCGTCACACCCCCCACCCTACCCGGAATCCAGTCTGGCGTGTTGCTGAATGGGCGATGGGAAGCTGGGGTGGACAAGAGACGGAAAGGATGGCGGGAGGAAATGCGGGTGGGACTGGGTCAGCACAGAGTCTGAGGATGAGGAGCAGAGGGTCAGGGCTGCACAAGGGGAGCATCTCGGAGAGTAGCAAATGCGGACGCTTTAATTTGGGTTCCCCCAGGAGTGGACTCGGAGATCAGGATTCACGTTGTACTGGGAACACGGGACAGAGCAAGGGGAAGTGAGGCAGGGGAGGGAAGGCAGCAGATGGAGCACTTCCAGAGGCTGGTCATCACCGTGGGCAGCAAGGGCTCAGCCCCACTGGGGAGAGTCCAGGGCCCAGTGCCAGGCAGCCGTGTGGAGGGCAAGGAGGCCGGGGCCTTTGTATCCCGCTGTTGGCTGTCGATGGGGGGCTGCCTGCCACGCGTGGCATGGAGGGCGCCAGTGACAAGAGAAAGCCGTCAGGTTTTTTTAACGGAGGTGCTGATGACCCATGTAGATGGAAGTGACATAGCAAAGGGGGATACAGGCAGAGTATCCACAGCCTGTGTTCTGGAGGACCAAGGTGGGAAGTGCCATCCTCGGTCATGCTGGGGAGAGTAAGAACCTTGGCCACTTCTGTCACAAATGGGTGCCTCTTAGAGCCCCTGTCCTCAGCAGAGAGTATTCCCCCAAAGACTGGAGAGACTCATGCCTTTGCTGAGGGCTGGGTGACTTACAGGAATGAGGAAGGTCCAGAAAGTGACAAGAGAGATGGGGGTAGGGAGGGAAGTATCCTCTCGTCCCCGTGGCTGGACAGGGGCCACTGAAAAACTTGTGAAAGACTCTTCCTTCTTTGCTGTGCCTACTTCCTCCTCCTTGACCTCACCCCCTGAACACACACATACCTGGTCCCTCAGCAAAGCTGGATTCTAGGTCCAAGGGGTGAAATGAGGACAGCTCCCCCCATCACCCCAGTCCCTAGACAAACGTGTGGGCTGCTATCAGCTGCTTCCAGAACCAAGACCCCGACTCAGCCTCACCTCCCTCCCTCTCTGGTCCCTCAGCCTCCATAACCAAGGGAAACTCTCCTCTCACGAAGCTGCCCAACATCCTCCAGAAAGCAACGGTCGTCGCCACAGGCCCAGCGCCCACCTCAGGCCCCGCTGGCCCTTTCATCGGCCAGGCGACAGTGTTCACAGCTGGACTCCTCACCTTGGCCAGACCATTGCCTTCCCCGACCTCAGGGAACACCAGACGGACCTCTGTGATGGGCTCCAGTTTCTCCAGCACCGGCCTGTCCACCATGGGGCCCGGGAAGGCCACTGGGTCCCAGACAGCGACTGCGTCTCCCAGCAACACCCGAGCCTCCGCTGTGGGCCCAGCCTCCGCCTCCACGAAGGCCGCGCACCTCTGCACCGCGGGAGCCCCCACCATGGGAATGTACCCCACCAGAAGAACGCTCCTCAACCACTTAATCCCCAGCAGGTACCTGGCGCGGGGAGCGGCGGGGTGGGTGGGGCTTACATGAATACTGTTTTCCCAGACACGGGAACAGTCCTCGGTGCCTGAGCAGAAGGCACGGTGCAAACGTCACAGCAGAGCAGCCCCGTCACACCCCCCACCCTACCCGGAATCCAGTCTGGCGTGTTGCTGAATGGGCGATGGGAAGCTGGGGTGGACAAGAGACGGAAAGGATGGCGGGAGGAAATGCGGGTGGGACTGGGTCAGCACAGAGTCTGAGGATGAGGAGCAGAGGGTCAGGGCTGCACAAGGGGAGCATCTCGGAGGGTAGCAAATGGGGACGCTTTAATTTGGGTTCCCCCAGGAGTGGACTCGGAGATCAGGATTCACGTTGTACTGGGAACACGGGACAGAGCAAGGGGAAGTGAGGCAGGGGAGGGAAGGCAGCAGATGGAGCACTTCCAGAGGCTGGTCATCACCGTGGGCAGCAAGGGCTCAGCCCCACTGGGGAGAGTCCAGGGCCCAGTGCCAGGCAGCCGTGTGGAGGGCAAGGAGGCCGGGGCCTTTGTATCCCGCTGTTGGCTGTCGATGGGGGGCTGCCTGCCACGCGTGGCATGGAGGGCGCCAGTGACAAGAGAAAGCCGTCAGGTTTTTTTAACGGAGGTGCTGATGACCCATGTAGATGGAAGTGACATAGCAAAGGGGGATACAGGCAGAGTATCCACAGCCTGTGTTCTGGAGGACCAAGGTGGGAAGTGCCATCCTCGGTCATGCTGGGGAGAGTAAGAACCTTGGCCACTTCTGTCACAAATGGGTGCCTCTTAGAGCCCCTGTCCTCAGCAGAGAGTATTCCCCCAAAGACTGGAGAGACTCATGCCTTTGCTGAGGGCTGGGGGCTTCATCCCCCTGACCTGTGAGCACCTCACTTCCTTCTCCCGCAGCTTGGTCCCCAAGGAAGAGAGGCTGTCACTCCCCGTGGGGACTGGCGGTCACACTCCTCTCGCATGGGGTGTGGGAAGACGTGGGCTGGGAGGGGGTGCCCAGTACTCATCTCCTCCTGGCCCTGTCCCGTCTCCCCAGATACCTGGACTTTTACCCTGTGGTGCTCGCGGGGGTGCTGGCGCTGTTCCCCGTGCTTGTGATCATGGTCTATGGCTTCTGGAAGAAGAGACACGTGGGAAGTGAGTAGAACCCAACCCTCGCAGCCCCCCAAGGACAGAGCACTGGGGAGTCTGACACCCTTTCCAAAGCGCCCGACTGCCCCCGGTCTCCAGGCAGTCGGTCCTCGCCCACGTGAGGTCAGGAGGACCATTCAGCACCCAGGAGAGGGGGGAGGGTGGGCAGACAGTGACCGCTCGGTGGAACCTCCTGGGGCCCGGCCACTTGGAAGCGGAGGGCAGAGGCAGAGGGGCTGGCCCGGGAGCTTCCGGTGCTGAGCAGGACTGCCCTCTGCATCTCTCCCTGTCCTCGCAGGCTACAGCATGTGCCGTGACCCTGCCAGATCCTGCAAGGACTTGCCAGCAAGACCAGAACCTCCGTGGAGGCCCGCTTGGTCTGAAGCCACTTCACTGTGGGGTGGGGAGGAGTTTCTTCCAGAGGGGCCCCGGGAGACCCCCAGGAGACTCCTCAGAGGAGAAGCGAAGACGGGGCCCTGTCTGGGTTGGAGCCGGGCTGGGGGTGAGGACTGTGCCACCTGGACTCAGGCCTTCCTGGAACTGGAGGCTGTGCCGCGCCTACTCAGCTCCCCTGGGCTGCTGGGATCCTGGCGGGGGTGGGAGTCTGAGCACGTGGTGCCAGGCAGGAGGTCTCTGCGGGTTTGGGGCACCACCGAGACGGTTCTCCTGAGAGCCACAGACCCCCAGGGCCCCAGCTGGGTGGCAGACAAGCCCCGAGGGTGCTGTTTGCAGACAGAGAACCTCTGATCTCACCAGCCTCGGAACCTCTTACTACAGAGTGGAGTGGGGAGGGGTGGACAGCTGGGGCCACCCTCTCCCGACCCGGGGCCCTGTCAGTGTCCCTCTGCTCCCCGCAAGCATCCCTATGCTCTTGGGGGAAGAAAGAGTCCTAGAAGCAGCTCATGTCACAAGGGTCCCACCCTGGAGGAGAAACAGTGACTAAGAGGTGGGGGTCAGTAGAGGCCTTGGGGACCCCAGAGCTATCTAAGCTTCCCACCCCCTGGGCCGTGCATCCTCTACAGGGCCTCCACATGGGCCCTGAGCTGACCACAGCTGCTTGTCCCTCAGGTCCCGGTCACCAGCGGAGCCCACACCCCCACTGCGGCCTGCTGGCCGGGCCCTCCTGGGACAGCTGTGACCAGGCAGCTGACAGCCCTCGCCTGCAGGGCCAGCCTGTCCCTAGACCTGTATGCAGAGGCTGACTAAGGCTCTTCCCCCCAGTTCCCACACCCCATCTCTGGGTCTATACTCCTGGAGGGGATGGGGGGGAGCCCTGGGGTCCACTGGAAGGGAAGTCATAGCTCAGAGAAGGGGGGATCACTTCCCTCCAGGGGACTCATTGTCCCCTGGGAAAAGAGGACGCAATGGTAACACAGCAAAAACAACTCAGAGCTGCCCACAGCCTGGAGAAACTCCCCGGGGCGGGGAGGGGGGATGGAGCCAAGGAGCCTGGGTCAGGGCGCAGTGGCCAGAGGAGTCTCTCCTGCCCCGCCCCCGCCACTGCTCTCCAGCTCACGGCTCAGATTCAGCCTCTTTGGCAGCAAAGGCTGAAGAATAGGAGCTGGAATCCTCCCCTGGGGAGGGGTGTCCACCAGTCTGGGGCCACTGCAATGAGAGTCTGGGGATAGATGTGGCCTCTCTGCTCTCGGCCCTGGGTCACTGCCCTCCTCGGTAGGACAGCAAACATCAAAGTCAGGAGAGTGACGCAGAGGGGCCTTGGTGGGCAGCCAGCCCACGATCGCCACTACAGGGTGGAGACGGGGAGAGAGGAAGGGGCAGGAGACAATCCCGGGGGAACAGCAGGGAGGCAGCCCCCTCCCCTGTGTCCAGGAGAAGACACTAGAGGGGAGACTCAGACCGAGGAGCTGACAGGCCAGGTGCCAGGACACACACGCACGCACTGATAACCAGCCTCCTTATCAGGAGGGTGTGGCCAACACCCAGTGTATAACCAAGAGGGGGTTAATTTTCCACCTGAAAAGCACACACCTCTTGCCCTGCCCCAGCTGAGAGCAGGATGTCCGGGAGAGTACTGCAGGGACTCGGGACATGGACCCAGGGGTGCCACCTGTCACGTGGGGCCCTGTGCAAGTCACTAACCCTATCGGGCCTCGCGTTTCCTCTCTTGTGAACGGGGACACTAATTCCTAGCTCTCAAGACTGTATTCAGGATAAAACAGAATAACACACGAACCTTACACAACTGACTAAAAGACTGATGCTTGGTCCTCCAGTTCTTTTCCAGGTCTGATTCTCGCCACATTCAACCTTTAAGACCGTTGGACCTTATGTCTGTGTTTTGTCCTCGACTGTAAGGGGGTAGGGAGGGAAGAGGGCCACATGGTCTGGCCCCAGGAGGTGGGGCTGGGTGCAGGCAGAGGCCTCTATGCCCTGACGTTATACAGGGGAGTTGTTAGGGGGACCGACCATCCCTGTTTGCCCAGGATGAGGGGCGCCTGGAACCAGGTGGACCTGCCCACCCCTGGAGCCAGCTCCCACGTGGACTCGAGCTAAGGACAGACACACAGCAGTGGAGAGGTGCAGACCATGTCCCCAGCTCCCCAGCCCTTCGGGGCCTGGGTGGCGTTTTTGGACCTCTAGGCCTCCAGGACATTTCCCCCCAAACCCTGGCCTTCCAATTCCTGCTACTTGTTTGCCCTTCTCCCTGGAGTTTCAGGAAGACCCGGATCATCAGCAGATCCAGGGCGGGCCGGTGCAGGGCAGGGGAGATATCAGACAGGCCAGGGCCACTGCTGCCTTTGGTGGGCAAGATGAGGGACTTTCTGAGCAGTGGGCGAGATGACAGGATGCACCTGTGAAGGGTTTCCTGTCACGGTTAAGGGAAGGAGCAAATAAAGGAAGCCCAGCACCCACGGGATGTTCGCTCTGTGAGCCCTTGTCTGAGCCCAGGGGACACACGCGTTCTTGCTGTGGGGCCAGCAGGCCAGCCTGAGGTTCACAGTCCCCCGTGGCTGCCAATGGGCTTCTCACTGCATCAGCCTGGACGGGTAGATGCTGTGCTGTGTGGCCGGGCTTCTTCTTCAGGCTACGGGGCTTCCTGCCCCGGGGCTGGAAGTAGTGAGGGCAGAAGGTGGCCTTGAGTCTGTCTGGGGCAGACCCCTCTCAGGGCAACCCGTTCCTCTCCATCCACTGACACAGGCAGTCTGAAGCCCTGGCACCCCCTGCCTTCTTGGCAATCCTGAAGGATGGCCTGTCTCCAGAACTGCTCAAGTGGCCTAGGGTGGCTGACGTCTGCCCATTCTGTTTCCCACCTTTTTCTTCCCCAGCCTAGTCCCTGAGTTTATAAACCTCCCTGCCAATTGCTGTTCCCCATAAGCCTGATCTGCCCTGTGGCTTGTTTACAGACTTCTTTCTTTTCTTGGTTGTTTATTAACCATGAACAGCCTGTGACAATGATTTTTCTGTAGCTCATCTACTGACCATTATTTTTTTAATGTGTTTGATTAGTGTGGCCTTTCAACAACCACTGTGGAGTGACAATGGCCAACTGGGGGGTTGGGGTTATAAGGAGGACCTGCGGGGCGGAGATCCTTTCCCCTTCTCTCTCCCTCCCCCTTCTTCTGCACCCATCTCCCTCTCCCCACCCGTCTCCTCTGATGTTCACACCCCAACTTTGCTCTCTCCACCTTTGCCAGGGACCCTACCTGCACCTCCATTCTTGGAAATGACTCTCCATCTCCCCACCTCCCCTCCCTCAGTCCCCATGGAACGTCCCAACCCACAAGCAAGCCTGGATGGGAAGTCTCTGACCTCTGGGGAACTCAGAAGTGTTGCCCAACTCTCTCACTCACCTTTGGCTCCCTGCTTTTCTTCGGTGGACAGGAGAAAGCTGAGGCTTGGGAGGAAGAGGTTGGAGAGAAGGGAGAAAGAAGGAGGGAAAATATGTTCTTAATTTGTTAATGAGTCCAAGTTCGTACTGCTTACCCCATGATAGGCAAATAAATGGACAGGCAGTTGTTGGGACATGAAAGAGCAACTTCATTTGGAAAGCCAGCAGATGGAGAAGGGGCTCAAAGAAACATCTTACCTGAGTCTGAATTCAGGCTTGTTTTATACTAAAAGGGGAGATGATATTGCAGACTTCTTGGTGTCAGCTAGATCCTGGAGGAGGTGAAAATGCTTTTGTTTTTGTAGTTCAAGTAGGTCAAGCCACCAGTTCCTGTAAACTTCTAATAGGACAAATGTTATTCTCTGTTCTGCAACTTTTTATCTCTGCATGAATGGAAAAGCATTGTACCTTTAAAGCTCAGAGCCCAGAATAGGCTATTATGTATATTTCAGGCTATAAATAACATTCTCAACCAGAAGCAAAAGCAATCCCTGGTGGTCCAGTGGTTAAGAATCTACACTTTCATCATGGGAGAAGGAACTCAGATCCCGCATGATCTGAGTGGTGCAGGCAAAAAACAAAAAGAAGGTTAAAAGAAACCTGTCCCATATGGAAAGGCAGGGAGACAGGGTGATGGGGAAGAGGCTGGGCAGAGAGAGTCAAAGTTTCCCGGAGCCTCAATCCAGGCTCAGATGTAGTACCTGCCGCTGAGGATCCAGCCTATAGGCTGAGGCCTCCCCTTCCTCGCCAGGCCGCCACTTCCCAGGCCGGCTTTGGTGGCTGAGCGGAATCCCGCTGACCTCTGGCTCTCTCTTCCCAGCGGCTTGCCGCTGTCTCGCTTCCTTCCCGTCACCCTAAGTCAGGAAGAGGGCCCATGGCCTGGGAAGCCACATACTGGCTGCCGCCTGTCCTGCTGGTGCTCTGGGCTCAGGTGAGGGGCAAGGAGGGAGGGCAGGGGGAACAGGTCAGGGGGAGAGGGAGACGGACGTGGAGGAGGCTCTGAGGAGGAGCGGGCAGGGGACAGAGGCACCGTGGTGGGGGCCAGCTCTAGGGCTCGTTCTGTGTAAGCCTGAAGAGGGTGGCTCCTGCAGGGGGAGGCCCTCATCTCACAGCCCTGCATTGGTGGCTGGGGGCTTCCTGACCTGAGTGTTTATTCTCAGGCTGCCAGGAACAGAGGCCAGAGTTGCAGCATAAACTGCAGGATGAGAGTCTCTGTGAGACGCTGGTACCCACCCCAGCAAGGCTTAAAGCTGAAACTCATGCAGGGAAGCATCTGCATATTGTTGTGGTTGTTGTTCAGTTGCTCATTCGTGTCTGACTCTGTGATCCCTTGGACTTCAGCACACCAGGCTTCCCTGTCCTTCACCATCTCCCAGAGTTTGCTCAGACTCACGTCCATGGAGCGGATGATGCCATCCAACCATCTCGTCCTCTATCACCCCCTTCTCCTTTTGCCTTCAATCTTTTGTAGCATCAGGGTATTTTCTAATGAGTTGGCTGTTCGCATCAGGTGGCCAAAGTATTGGAGCTTCAGCTTCAACATTAGTCTTCCCAATGAATATTCAGGGTTAATTTCCTTTAGGATTGACTGGTTTGATCTCCTTGCTGTCCAAATGACTCTCAAGAGTCTTCTTCAGCATCACATTTTGAAAGCATCAGTTCTTCAGTGCACAGCCTTTTTTATGGTCCAACTCTCACATCCATACATGACTACTGGAAAAGCCATAGCTTTGACAAGATGGAACTTTGTAGGCAAAGTGATGTCTCTGCTTTTTATTTTATTTTTGATATCTCTGCTTTTTAATACGCTCTCTAGGTTGGTCATAGCTTTTCTTCTAAGAAGCAAGCGTAGTTTTAATTTCATGGCTACAGTCACTGTTTGCAGTGATTTTGGATCCCAAGAAAATAAAGTCTCTCACATTTCCATTGTTTCCCCACCTATTTGCCATGAAGTGATGGGATCAGATGCCATGATGTTCATTTTTTGAATGTTGAGTTTTAAGCCAGCTTTTTCACTCCTCTTTCACCTTCATCAAGAGACTTTTTAGTTCCTCTTTGCTTTCTGCCATGAGGGTGCTGTCATCTGCATATCTGAGGTTATTGATATTTCTCCTGGCAATCTTGATTCCAGCTTATGCTTCACCCAGTCTGGCATTTCACATGATGTACTCTGCACAGAAGTTAAATAAACCAGAGTGAAAATACACAGCCTTGACGTACTCCTTTCTCAATTTTGAACCAGTCCGTTGTTC